GTACCTGGTGAAAAATAAAAGGGAGGTGCTGTCCCAGTTAAATCCCAAAAGACTGGCCCGAATGAGCACCCTTATGTGTCTGTGCTGACCAGTGCATCCTAAAGGGGCTTGTTCACACCACATGCAGTGCATTCCAGCACAGTTAGTGGCCAGAACGCACTAATTAACCCCTTCGTGACGGGAGACGTACACTGTACGTCCAGCCACAAAGGGACCAAATGACTCGTCACGTACACTGTACGTGACGAGTTATTTGCTGCACTAGAAGGCTGCAATCCGCTGAGAATCAGCGGTTACCTTTCAGTAATAGATGTCTAACTATCTAGAGATCCATTACTGAAAGGGTTAACCTTTTTCAGACACCCGATACCTTAATATCGGGTGTCTGAGAGTCACAGCAAAGCAGACACACATGTCGGCTTTTGCCGGCATTCTGACAGCTCGTATAGATCGAGAGATATCTCTCTCAAGCTATACTGGCTTTTTTTTTTTTTTTTCTTTTGACTTTCAAGAATAGATACAAAATGTTATGTATTAGACACATAATGTATCTATTCTTGAAAGTAGAATGTTTAAGTTTTCTGAAACATTCACTGACAGCTGAATCCTGAACTGCTGCAGGATCAGTGTCACTAACTTATTATCGGCTGTTCTGAAGTTTGAAGCAGCCTGATAATAAAAAAAAATTTATTAATTTATCAAGCAGTAATAGTGAGATTAATTCACAATGACTGCCTGATATAATTAAATAAAAATAATTTGTCAGTATAAAAAAAGTGAAAAGTGTAAATAAATTAAAAAAAATAGTGAAAAGTGTAAAAAAATTAAAAATAAGGGACAAATAAATGAATGTATGTATTGCATTTTTTTTTAGCTGTGCTGGTTTTGTTAAAAAAAAATACTACAAATCAAAACTGGGAAAAAAAGTTTTTTTTTACGTTTTTTCCTCTTTTTTTAATTTGTATTTGTCCTAAGTGAGGCGTTAGACACACATATGTGATATAAATATATAGCCCTATCTGTCCTCTAAAAAACAATATATAATATGTGTGGGTGCACTTTGTAAGAAAGTATATTACTGACGTGGAAGAATCACACAGCAAAAATGTCAAAAGTGTGTCAGTCATTTACAAACAGAAACCAAAAACAAGCTCAGTCATGAAGGGGTTAAAGCCTCCTGTGTTCTGGGGCAGGAGGGGGCGTGGCGGTGCAATGCAAGTCAATGGCACTACACCATGATTGCCTGTACCAGAACATGTGGCATAGCAATGTCTGCGGTCTGGTGCGCAAAAAAAATAGTGCATGCGCTATTTTTTGCAACCGGACCAAAGGCATCGCTATGCCACACGTTCTGCAGGAGGCGTGGCACCATTGACATTAATGGAATTGCCCCACCCCAGAATGTAGGAAAGCCTGCTCTATGCAATCTAGTGGTGTGAACAAGCCCTCAAGTGAAGATTTGCTATCTTGTAGGGGACATCTAGTTGTGCCTAAGAAGTATTAACGTGAACTTTTACCTTTTGTTTTTTTGTATTGAATTTCTCCTGAAAAATAGCCGAGTGTTTCCTGACATGACTGTGCCCTCAGTATAATATATGTAGCTGCACAGTGTTATCATCTAAGTCACTTCTGCCTCTGATGAGATAGGGTGATGCCACTACTGTGCTTCTCTGCCTTCTCACTGGAGAGGAAGCTGGACCTGCAGTGCAAGGATCTCACTGCTATTGTTTATTGGTGGATCTGTGCTCCCTTCACCTCTCCTGCTACCTCTTGAACATTATCCCATCAGTCATCAGGGAAGTGGCTCTGACCTTTTTTTTGACACAGCTTCTGGAGTTCAGATACTCTATAAACAAATGGTTGTGTTTTATTTTCTAGGACGGGGTGAGCACACCGCAGACACCTTTTATCCCTGGCTTATCAGGGAGGAAACGGTACCCTAACAACATTTTGTAACAGGTCTGATCCCTATACAACTTGGCCAGTTGTGTCTGGGAGAGCCCCACGTGTAAGCTGGCCATAGCTGGCTTGACTTGCCAGATTCCTGCAGAAAATCGAGTTGTAGGTGGCCCTGTCAGCACCAACTAGCTCCACAAAAAGTAATTTAAAAATCAACTAAAGCTAACCATACACCTGCAGCTTTTCTATGGTCAGATGGAAAAAGTGAACAGATTCCTCCATCTACGCTAAACTGTGTGGATGGAAGAATCTACCACTGGGCCAAGCTTCAGGATCTTGCTAGCGCTGGCTCTCAAAATACCTGAACAATGCCGGCATCCAATCAGATTGGCTCTCAAAATACCCGAACAGAGGAACTGACTAGCAAGACACTGAAGCTTGGCCCAGTGTGAGATTCCTCCATCCGCACAGTTTAGCGTAGATGGAGGAATCTGTCGCTCTTTTTCCATCTGACCATAGAAAATCTATAGATAACCTATAGGAGTATGGCCGGCTTTAGACAGGTAAAACATTGAGTCAAACAGAGACTGCGTCCTATCAGATGCATTGACTGTTTCAGCTATTCAGACAGCTGAAGGCACAGTCACTGTTTAGGGTATTTAGCGACTGACCAAATACAACAGCCGGTGATGAAGATTCCTCAATCCATGGATAGTCGCAGGGATGGAAGAATTTTTATTTTCTTTTGTTCAGGCACAAGGGCCGAACAAGAGAGATCCGGCCATGTTTGGCTGTCCCCTGTCTATAGGTGCTTCTACTTGTCCCTGAGGATCACTTTAGAGACAAATTTTTTCAAATGAAGACTTTGAATCGACTTCTTAACATTTTTAATACTTGTTTTTAAACAATTTCTGCTGCCAGTATTCTTTCTTTTCATTAAATAAAATCTTGTGCGCTTTTAGTGCAGGAATAGTAGTTTGTGTACGTAGGAAAATCTCTGTACACGATTGTGACATTGCTTCCAGAGGGAGACGGATATCAGTGCACACAGATGTTTGGACACTTCAAACACAAGTGAAGGACAAGAATAGACTGACAAGCTATTCGGGTTGATTGTATTGCAGCAACAACCTGCACCCTGTTATGGTTGCGTTAAGCTGGCCATACACTATTTGCGTTTGATGGTTCTTGATGAACCGGCTGAAATTCGCACAACAGGTGCTTTTGACCGGTATCCCTCAATTACCTATTGAAAGGAACAGAGTTGGCAGACAATGAGCTGCTGGCTCTGTTTTGGGTATTCCGACGATGGCCATCGTCAGCATACAATGAAGAGAGTGGGGAAATTCCTCCATCATTGTATTATTTTCTTCCTTCAACTCCTAATGCAATGCACATGTGACTAAGGTTCACAGAGAAGTACTTCTGTACACAAAGCCTTACTGCATGGCCTTGCAACCAAATTACAGTTAGCGGCAGACTGTTTGCAGTAGATCCCCATGGTCTATGGCTTCTTAGATTGGAATTAAGGACAATTAAAAGAGAACCTTTTTATCCCATTGTTCTCTTAAGCGTCATGGCAGGACATATACCAACCTCCTCCCGTGAGTCAAAGCTCAGTATATAGCAGCCTATTGCCCTCTATATACTGAGAGTGCCGCAGCCGTGATGGATCACAACAATACTGTTGAGATCCACCAAGCTGGCTGATTAACAGCAGGTTCTGCCTATCTGGAGGCGGAGCCAGCTGTGCCTGAACCCCTCCCCTATTCAAATCCTCCACTCAATCTCTGTGGGGAGTGGTGACTGACAGTCACCACTCTCGGCAAGGAGATGATCGGGAAGTGAGCGAGGGATGGTATGCGTTCGCTCACTTTCAGATCTATAGAGTCGACGTGTGACAGTTTCATTGTCACACATCGGCTCTAACTATGAGGATGAGTGGAAATTACTCACCTCATAGTTCTCCTTTAAGCCCTGTAAAAACAGTGGCTGTGTTTACAAACGATCCCCCTTTAAATCTGCTTGTGTGCTCTTTTAAAACTGTGTGGCAGGGGTGTCCCACTGAGTACCCTCTCCAATCAGCAGTGGGTTGTGGAGGTTTGAAGAGGGTGTTTTTCAGCTCCCTCCTAAAGCCTGGCCATACACCCGTCAATTTCTTTCATTCAACCCACGGGCTGAACAAAAGAAATTGACGCGATTCCTCCATCAACACAAACAGCGTGTCGATCAAGGAATCGCCGCCGTTTGCATTGTATTCTAACAGGTGCTGCCGGCACCTGTCAAAATACCCAATCAGAGCGGCCAGCTCATTGGCCCTGATCACACAAAGATTCAGGCCCGGCGCTACTGCAAGGCAAGCGGCCGCCTGAGGGTGAGGGCGGAAAAAAACAGTCAAAATGCCCCGATGCTTGCGCTATGTTTTTTTTTTTCACTTACCTTCGGTGCAGGAGAGCAGCGGCGAGTCAGCGCTAGTCCGGTGGGAGGAGCTCCAGGTGGGGTCCTAATTTAGCTGGCCAGCGACTGCCAGAGGATCCCGACACACGAGGCACCTCTGGCAGTAGTCGGACGCAAAAATGCAACTTTGCCTGTCTAGGCAAAAATCCTAGCATCGGCCCTGCAAAGATTTTCCAGCAAGCTCCTTTGATCAGCTGATCGAGGAATGCCAGCTGAAAGGTAGCCAAAAGCCCCACACACTGCGAATTTTGGCCGGTAAATTAAAAACCAGCCTTAATTCAGCCAGTGTATGGGCACCTTAAAAGGCAATTAAAGTGGAACCTTTTCCTAAATTTACATGGTCGGGTTAGAACCTTTACCAAGCTTATTCCACTGTTTGTGTTCACACTGGGAACGTTTTCTCTCTGGTTTGTGTCACCAGGACAGGCAGTGAAGGGAAATCTCTCCAATGTGGACACAGGCAGCAATAATAATAATGTTTTCACATACAAAAAAACTTTTTTTTTTGGCTGAAGTCACATTTTACAATGTCCAATTTTAACTCACAAATAAGAATTTCTACACCTTTCTATTAGGATTTTGTACCTAACAAAAATTCCACCTTTTCAATGACATTTTTTGAGCCGTAGCCCGTTTTACCCCCGTTTTCTGCTGCCCCTGAGGAATTCAGAATGTACATATATACAATCACTTTGATACGACACTCATTTCTTTTTAGCATTAAGTAGATTAGGAGCTGATACTTTCACCTTTCCTGGCATGTTTCTGGACAAATCTGTGTCCTGCAAGACAAGGGAAGTCAATATTAATGACAGATCGGTCAGTGACGTCTAGATACAGACTGTAGACGCTGGATATGTTTAAATGTCTCCAAGACGAACATTTCCTACCTTCACGCTGCGTAATAAATCTTTCTCTCTAGAGGAGCAATCCCTGTAATGCATGAAGCTGTTCAGTGCCGTCTTCGCAGCTGCGGGGGAAAAAAAAAACTTTAGCCGCTCAAGTCTTTTAATGGGGAAAAACAAAATATGAAAGTCACCTCAAACATGGGCAAGTTACACAATTACACTATACTTTCCTGCAAAGAGAAAACAGGAAGTAACAAGTCTATACTTTTCGGGTGGCTTTACACTTGCATTGCAGTAACTTATGGTAAAACGTGTGTTTTATACGGGGGTGCTGTAACACAATTTGTGCCTAGCCTTTCATTTGGTATAACACCCCAATGGACAACAGTAGCCTGCAAAGCACCCATACAGCAGTGCACCACACTGTGCAAGTGCAGAGCCTTACAGCATGGGCTGCCCTAATGCAATGCACATTAAAGCGGATTTCTAATCTTTTTCTTTTCCCTCACGGTTTTTGCCATTATGTGTATGTATGCACAAATATGGCAGACTTCCCTACCAAAGGGCCCCTCCTCCAGTGATGAGATGGCTCCTCCCTTGCTTAATCTGCTTTTGGGTTCAGAGTCTTTAGCCATCTTGATTGCCCAGCCAGTTACGACGTAGCACCTGCATGTATGCATGGGAGTTCATTCCTCCCGGTACCAGACGGATGCCAGGATTGTACACCGAGCTGTGTATAGGTGGCTCAGTATCCATTCAGAAAAAAACAATGCTGGCAAGCAGGTAAGACTTTCTTTTTTGGTAGAAGACCACAAGGGAATTTATGAAAGCAATTGTGACAGTTTTAGCCTCTTAGATCATTTTTTGTTATGTGCAAATCTGTTTAGCCGCTCCTTTTCACATGTGCACCTGTTTTGACCAGAGCTTGCGCCATTTTCTCAATTGCACACGTTTTGCGAAAGTTCGCAACTGTTTACACCTGCTACTGTCTGAAACTGGAGCATCAGCTAACAAAACAAATTCAACTTAAGAAGTCCCCATGACCACTTCTTCAAGAAGCGACGGTTAAGCTTTTTGCCTGGAGTTGCGAGTCTTCTTCCCTGGAGACTATTTACCGGATTTTTCCGTCTATAAAAGACGCCCCTATGTATAAGACGCCCCCAACTTTTCTTACCCAAAATTCCGAAATCAATATTTTAATTGGTATAATGCATCACACTTACCTCAATCACGTTATGCTCCGACATCACAGCTCCGGGCACTGGCTACACGCCTGACGTCAGGTACAAAAGATTTATGATCGGATTACAGAGACAAGATAACAGTTTTCCTCCAATCATAAATCTTTTGTACCCGACGTCAGCTGTTGCTGGGGAGAGCGGATTACAGAGCCACTCTCCCCAGCAACAGCTGACGTTGGGTAAAAAAGATTTATGATTGGAGGAAAACTTATCTCGTCTCTGCAATCCGAAGTTTTACTTGTGAGGCTACGGTCATTTGCAGTGGTATCGGCACTTTCTCGGCCCCCGTGTATAAGACGCCCCTCTATTTTTAGGTAAACATTTTAATGAAAAAGTAGCGTCTTATACACTGAAAAATACGGTGATCTAATTTATAAACATTACACCAGCGACATCAATCTGGCACAAATATATCCCATGCGACCATATGGGAGATCAAACACTTGCAATTGCCATGATAAATTCCCCCCCAGTCTCTTATGCAATAAAAACCTTCCTGCCAGCAAAATAAAAAAAAAAAAACAGTTCCACTTCAATTGACTAGAAAGGTATGGAGACTCCTAATAGAGACTTGGTAGAAAAGTCATTTGCACTCCAATGAGAATTTCGGTCAATGTTCTTTATTGACAAAAGAATTGTCACATCCTATAGCAGCAACGTTTCGGAACCGTATAGGTCCCTTCTTCAGGCAAACAAAGTGTAGTGCCTGAAGAAGGGACCTATACGGTTCTGAAACGTTGCGGCTATACGATGTGACAATTCTTTTGTCAATAAAAAACATTGACCAAAATTCTCATTGGAGTGCGAGTGACTTTTCTACCACGTGATACTGATCCGCAGAGGCATCTGCTGTCATCTCAGCACCCACCCATTATCTTGGGTTATATCCCGTCAGGAGTGCGATGGGATCTACTTGAATTACTAATAGGAGAGAGATTTGCCAGCATACATGCAGTCTCTAGGATTGTGCAGCAGATAACTGTATGAACAGATCTATGACACACCATGAAGACTCATATCAAGCTGCAGGGGCATCCAGTTGGTAGTTTTTCCTACTAAATCTTACCTTTTCCTTTTTTCTGTGTTCCTGGAGTTAATTTAACTTTATATCTAGAAAAAATAAAAATAAATGAACATATATATTTACACATCATTCAGAACATAAAAAAGTAAATATACAAAAACCCACCAAGATGAAAAAAACTGTTTTAGGATCTTTCTGAGAACACAAGTGTTAGAAAAGTGTCTTTGTGATTCATAAGCACCCCCTTGAAGAACAGGACTTGTATCCCTCAGTTACACAAGACAACCCCCCCCCCCCCCCCTAAAACCACAGCTTACTAAGCACGATCCTGTGCCATAAGATGTGATTATGTTTTAATGTGCGCTTCTCATTTCATGGTAAACTCACTTGTTATTGACCAAGGCAGTGTAAGGTGCACAGAATGGCACAGAAAACAGCAGGATGTCCTCTGCATCTGGCTGACCAGTCAACGAGTCCAAAAGATTTTCTGCTTCCTACAGGAAGGTAAAATAAATTACATCAGCAAAGGTATAATGATAGGAGAAAAAAAGTAACTCAACCAGTTCCATTCTGCTAGTATGTTAAACAACTACACCTAGAGCGCACATTTCCACACCTAGAGCGCACATTTTCTGTTTTGGTTGGAATGGCTCCAACAGGTGCCTTTAGCTCACACTCTACTAATGGCTCTGAGGCTGCTTGCAGCGCGCCTACTGATGGTGCCGACATCTGCAGCTTAGAATCATGTTGCCCTCTGCATATAAAGTCTATTATGTCATTGGAGTCCGCTTTAACACAGCTGTGTGCGGATCATTTACCCTTTTGGCTGAGATTTAATTATAGCCATGCAAGACTTTATGGCCCAAATCATGCTTTGTAGACCACAAAGGCCACAAGCCCGTTACCGATCCTCAGGCTTTTTTTTTAGCTTGGTATGGAATATGTGAAAGCTGAATCTTAAAAAAACGGAATAGTTCATAAAATGAAGTACGGGTTTCTGGATCGCCAGTTGAAGTAGGTAAAGTGTCAATGAGAGAAGGAGATAAATACCTCTGATCCTGGACCGTCCTGATCGGCATCATCCTGTGTGTAAAACACAACAACATACAATGATGATAGGTACACCTCAACCCTATCTAAAGATGTCACAACTATTCTTTAAAGTGATCCAGGTTCTTAATGCAAAAAAAAGTCCTTGCAAGAGAACAATTAGTACACTGACCTCTATAGTGGCCAGGGTCTCCTATTTCTCATTCATTCCAGCCCTGCAGCTTCCACAAGTCTCTGACATTTCTGGAAGCGTTGAATGTCTGTTGGCTCCATCCTCTAAATCCTATGTCACTGCTGAGTCCCCTCGTAATGTGGGAGCTCGGGGAAGGAGGAAAGTGGAGGAACACAGGCATCTGACACTCTCAGAAGTGTTGAATGCCAAAGAGACTGGTGGTGGCTCCAGTGTTGGAATGGAGGAGATATGGCCTGCCATAACCACGTGTATAATACCTCTTCTCTTACAAGGACCTTTCAGCTTCATTTTTTAAGAACTTGACAGGGTCACTTTAAAACAGATGCACTTATACCTTTCGCCCCCTTCCCTGGCCTGAACTATGCTACCCGGCCCAGATGCATACTTCACTTGATCCTGCAGCCCTGGCCTCTAGTGTTTGTTTACATCCTGTTCCAAAGTCTTTTGTGTGCAAGCCACTTCTACACAGTGGCTCCCCTAGACTTCTATGGGGCTGTGTCCCAAGGCCACAGACGCTCAGCAGATGGCCCCGTAGAAGTCTGAGGGAAGCTAGTGTGCAGGCGCAGAGCGCACAGAAGCCTTTTGGACAGCAGACACAAACACTGTAGGACTTGCCCTATGAACTGACATAAGTATGCATCTGGGGAGGGCGGGTAGATTAGATCAGGGAAGGAAAGCAAACACAATAAGTGCACTTTATTTTAAAGTGCGCTTATTTTTTCAAATGGAATATATAGAGGTTTTGTATATATTTTAATTTTTACTGATCTAGAACAAGTGTGCAGATCTGGAGTTTTGACTTTATGTTGGCATTCCAGATCTGCATGCTCATTCCAGGCCAGTGACTCCAAACACAGGAGCCAGAGGCAGCCAGCACTTTCAGAAGGAGGTCAGTAATAGCAGCCTCCTTATTCCTCTGAATAAAAGGTTCCTGTCATTATAATTCATGGCTTCAGATGCTCTCACCTTCTCCTCCGGCTGCTCCTCTAAGGTCATTTCTTCTAAATTCTGCGTTATAAAGACCTCAGTGGACCCTCCAGATTCTTTCCCAGGCTTTTTGCCCCCTTTTCCCTTCTGCTGCTGTTTCTTTTTGGTTTCCTCCTTTTCTTTCCCTTTCTTCCCCTTCTTCAACTTCTCCTCCTTGTTAGACCCTGCAGACTACAAAGCAGCAAGATTACTACCTGCAGGAGGCAAGTACGGGGGTCTGTTCAGGAGGCAGCCAGTGCACATACTTACCCCCAACAACTGCATGATAAGTTCTCGCTCTTCATCGTCTTGATCTTTATATTTCTCCATCTTCTTCATTTTACTCTGAAAATGTCAGAAACAAAGAGGAAATTGTCACAGAAAAGATGACACTAACACCACCACAGGAAACAAGATCAGTGATAACAGTGTTGCTGCACTGAGAAATTTAAAGTGCATCTGTCATATTGCAGCAGGTTACATGTTGCAAAGACAGAAAGGGAGGCTCTGTGCCCCCCCCCTTTTAATTTTTTTATAGACTTGAGTTCCATGTGGGATACCAATGGAGTATGCTATGTGATATGTTTATTTATTTGCAACAGTTAAAGAAGAACTATGAGATGAATCATTTCCACTCATCCTCGTAGTTAGAGCCGAAGTGTGACAAAGAAGCTGTCACAGGTCGGCTTTATTGATCGGGAAGTGAGCAGAAACATGCAGCCAAACCATTCACTTCCCTATCTTCTCCCTGCAGTGAGCAGTGACTGTCAGTCACCGCTCCCCCTCAGAGATCCCCCCCCCCCTCCCCGATCCTCCAGCGCTGACAGGAGGAACATGAGAGGGAGGGGGCGGGCACAGCTGGCTCTGCCTCTAGATAGGCAGAGCCAGCTGTCAATCAGCCAGCTGGGTGGATCCAGACTGTATTGTTAGGATCTATCCCGGCTGCGGCGCTCTCAGTATATAGCTCGCTATATACTGAGCTTTGGGTCACAGGAAGAGGTTAGTATATGTCCTCCTGTGACCCTAAAGAGAACTATAGAGAAAACCACTCACCCCATAGTTCTTTTATTTTTTCCAGGACACGATTTCAGGAGACCTCATCTATTTTTTAGTTAGGGGAGTCAATACGTAAACCTCTGTATTCCTTTAAGTCGGTAGAAAGGTAATGAGTTGGCTGCTCTTCCATGTGCACAGCCCACAGCTCGGCTTCTGTGGGTAACATGTAGAAAGAGGAGCGCCAGACTATTGCAGTCTTTCATAAATATTTTGTTTATATAGTCCAATGTAAAGCCAACACATTAGGGGTAAGGGGCTCCTCTCATCAGGGCTTGAGCTACACTGAAAACAGGAAATCTGCATGGGTAGAGGTCAGGAGATCCTGAAGGATTTCATTTCAAAAATGCTCTACATACGCCAAACTTTTGCTAAATTGGAACAGGAGGCCCCATGAGCTCCCAAGATCGGCAGGCTTTTAGTTAAAAGGATTTAAACAATTAAAATATGTTCTAGATAGTCTGGCGCTCCTCTTGCACACCTGACCCCTACTTCAATCCAAACAGTACTAATACACATGGGGCTTAGCAAAATGCCAAGAGGAAATCTGTAACAGAGGTGACTTTACCCCTCTCCTTTCATAACACACTATACTCCTTATCTGGCTCGCCTGTTTCTTTACTCACATTCACAGATTGTTATCCTAGTTACAGATTTTGTCTTAGCATGTTGCTAAACCTGTGTGTATGAATACTTCTTGGTCCAGAAGCAGGGTATAGGGTAGAACTCCTAAAAGCTGGTCCTGAAAAATTTAGGTAAAAAATTACCAGTACTTAACAGTGTTTTTATTGCTACAATTATCCAGTTCAACACAGAAATCTACTGATCATTATACTGAGAGTCTACACTGTTCACTCCCAGGTTACTATCACCCAAGAGGCTACAGATGGCAATCCAATAGTTCAGTCGGTAATCATTTATACCTTTTGTCTTCTCTTCACTGGCGGCAGCAATGCGCCCGCTTGTGGCGCAGCCTTGGCAGCAGTCACATCCATCTTCTCTGCATCTTCCAGCTGTTGGGATTCTTCTGAATCATTTGGTTTCTTTTTCTTTTTCAGTTCGCTAAATAAAAAAAAAGAAGAGGAAAAAGAAAAATCCTTGCTTCAATGATCCACATATGACCACAACACAGATGCAAATGTTTCAGATCTATAAATCTATATATAGATCTATAATGTGCTGAGCCTCATTCATTGAGGTTTTGTAACAATACTAGAACTCAAAATACCAAATTTGCCAATTTCTGGCACACATTTAAATCTCGTTGCCTGTAAAATAACACTGGCAGTTTTCATTTCACTGTTACTAATAAGGTCATTTTATATTCTGCTTTTACATCTTTTTGAAGACCTGATCAGCTGCCAGAGGAGGTTTTTCTTACCGTCTTTCTTTAGCCGATAAATGCTTGTGACTGGCGGACTTGTCATTCTAATGGAAATACAGATAAAAATGAGGTTACAAAGCATAAAAAAGGAACTATTTTATAGAAGGAAGCCACTGCTGCATATACCCTTACCGCTGGCGGGAGGTGTGCAGGCTCTGCAGCTGCTGTCTTGGTCATGCTCCTACGGAGAAAGCGCCACGGTTATATTGGCTCTTGTGAGAAGCAAATAAGTTCCTTAGAGCAACAAAAATGCAAAATGTCCATGGTGCAATAAAAAACTTTTGGAAAGAGTGAGAGAGGTTTAGAACCTGTCACGCCTCGACATTTTCATTTCATTTCTGTCCTGCTTACAAAGTTTCCATCAGACTAGGACACTCACCAGGACACTTCTTGAGCAGCTGAGGCTCTCCTCTATTCCATGATGCTCTGGGTTGTGGGTGGGCTCTCGCCATGCTCAGTTACAAAGCAAGACCATTGCCTTGCACTGTACTTGATGATGTTGGCATGCAACCACCACACAGGAGCACCTTGGAGAAGAGGCTTTGGGGGATAATTGTACAGCACGGAGGGAGCCTGGGGGAGTGAGGGATTAGGCAAGTAAAAGACCCCAAGCAAAAAAAAAAAGAAAGAACACAAGCATTTCCCCTAAAGTGTGGGAATCTCCACTGTAAGGGTATTTTTCTTCTTTTTAGGCAGATAAAACCTTCAGGTACTCTAAGAAAATCTAAAAAATCCTCTAACCTCTTTGTCTGAAGATGGGAGAGATCTATGGAGGTGTCGGGGAAGGCCATGTCTTCTTCTCCATCCTCCTCTTTCACTGTACTGTTGTCTTCTGTGGAATCTAAGCTGTCATTATCACTGTCCTCTTCAGAGTGCACATCCTCATGGTTGGATGTCTCTTTGATCTCAGCTGCAGAATCATCTTCCAGAACATTATCTTTGAGATCTATATCTTGCTCTCTCTCTTCTTCATCCTCCTCACTGCTGTCATCGCTTCCATCTTCTGGGGCCTCTGAAAATAGACAGGACGGTGACCAGATAGGTACTAGTATGTAATGTGTATTTGGTATATAATGTGGCAGTGAGAAGTGTGAGTTTTTGCATGTGATGTAGCAGGTTTTGTTATTCTTTATTTAAAATATTGCTCATAAAAGAAATGATGGAAGTACAGAAGAAAGTATTGTCAGCATGCGGAGTGTCAACCAGTAAGGGATGTAACAGCTTCAAGTATCATTTGATACAATTTGGTAAAGACCTCAATCAACAGACAAATATCAGTAAAGCCAGCTTCAAGGAAAGCATGTGCTTTGGCCACTCGGGGCACACCAACAGGCTTACTTTAATCTCCCCATCCCCAGAAAGTAATTACTTTTCCTTCATTGCTCTGTTCAGTGCAGGGAACCAGGAAAATACCGGGAACTTCCAGATATAAAGGAGCATGTGACAGCCCTGGGCTAATCACCACTGTCACATAGAGAGTACATATCACTGCGCAACCTACGACTCCAGAGACACATAGCTTACACAGGGCTTTCCTTCTAATCCTGGCAGCTGGGGGAGTATAAGGTAGTTCAGTATTTGCTGTTGGGGAGAGCTTTGTGAAAGTGACCCTGTTGTTATGTCCTGCAAGCGCAGGTTCACTTTAAGCTGACGACCTGATCATATCACCATCTTTAGATGTCGGAGGCTTGTAAGATGAAGGTGAGCCCAAACAATCAATTTCATATATATGCAATCAATTAGGTCATCACACTACATTAGTTTTTGGTAAAGCCAAAAGAGATGACATAATCAGATTGTAATGTACTGTATACATCTGCTTTGAGCATTTCCCAGAAACAATTTTGCAGTTTGTGTTTAAAATCTACTGGAATATAAAGCCGAATTTCGTGCGGTGCTTGATGAAGCGGCCGGAATTCAACTGTGTGGGTGCCGCGATCGGCACCCTTCCACACGGCATCCCTCAATCAGCTGATCGCATGAGACAGATGGAAATTTCTCGGCTGATCAGCTGCAGGTACAAAGGAAACAGTGGGGATTCCTCGATCAGCGCTCATAAGCGTTCATGGAGGAATCTGTTCTATTTTTTTTTTGTTCATCCCGTGGGTGTATACCCGGCTTTACTCTTCACTAACACGTTTATTGAACCTTTCCACTAAATATGCTTTTTCTAAAGGAGGGTGATTGCATGCTGTGCCTCTTTTTATCGGCGTGTGCATAATACCTTAAACATAAAAAAGATTCCCTAATAGGTCAGATAAATACAACAAAAGATGCTGCTAAGTATATGGACAATTCCGCAGCCTCACCTAAGGCCTCAGTTTCTTCTGCTGCAAGCTCCGAGTTACTTCCCGTCACACTTTCCAGGTCCTCATCCTGCAGTTTCACCTTGCGCTCCCCTTTATGCCTCCAAACGCACGTCTCATCCACCTAGGGGAAGAACGGGACAACTTGCGGCTATCAGCCTTTTTACATAATAAACAGGGATACATTTTTCCTTATTAAAAACGGCATGCCACAAAACAGTCCAGGAGTTTTCCTAAAACTGATTACTGAACATGAAAATTAGAACAACTAGGGGTAAATTGTTTATACAAAATCAGTAAAAACCTGAACACTTGTGAGAATTCCAGGGACTCCGATTTTACAAAGACAAATGTCTGCACCCCGGAAATAAGAGACAGCTGGCAATGACAACTATGGGAGATATGTTTTGGGTCAGTGATGGTCTTGATTGTCACTAGATGAGAAAGGCCAGAAAACTAGCATTTTCAGAGGAGGTCAGCGATTGCAGCCTTTTTTCTATGTTTACTTTAAAGGGGCCTTTAGTTGAAATTAAATGTTGTACAAAATCACACTAAATAATCTTAATATTATATAGAAAGCCGTTTTTGCCAATTCACCGCTAGCCGATCTGTTATGGTGAGTTTACTGCACATATATAAAATGTGTGTTGTAATAAAGCAGCGCATTCATTTGCATGGGCTGCCACTGCACCACAACAAACCGAAAACTGAACTGAAGAAAGAAGCCGATTGGTTGCCATGCACATCTGCTCCAGATTTTGTCTGCTCCAGATTTTGATAAATTCCCCCCCATTGACTTTAAGTGTACAGTATGTGCCTATAACCAAAAACAGCTTTTGGACTTGTGTAACATGTCTGGCACTTTCTTCCTTACACAAGAGTCTAAGACCACCTCAACCTAACCAATTGGAGAGCTGCCTTAAAAGGAAACCTTCTCCTAAACAGACCTGAGAATAAATTGGAAGAAAGTGCCATACATTTCAGTTTTCTGATGAACTTACCTTAAAAAGGAACCCAAATCCCATCATCAGGTAGGAAGGAGGGAGGAAATTCTTCTTTCCTGAAGAAGAAAAAAAAGAAACCCCAAAAAATTACATTTGCATGCTAAATACAGCAGAGCTTTCTCCTGTGTTAAAGGAGAACTATGGGGTCAGGGCTTTTCCCCATAGTTCTCCTAAGGGTCACGGGAGAACACAAACTAGCGTTCTCCCGTGACCCAAAGCTCAGTATACTGCGAGCTACAGCTCAGTATAAAGCAGCATATTGCCCTCTATATACTGAGAGTGCCGCAGCCGGAACGGATCCCGACATTGCTGTCGAGATCCACCCAGCTGTGTGATTGACAGCTGGCTCTGCCTATCCAGAGGCAGAGCCAGCTGTGCCCGCCCCCTCCCCCTGTCCGTTCCGCCAGTCAGCGCTGGAGGATCGGACAGGGGAGGGGGAATCCCTGCACGGAGCCGTGAGTGACAGTCACGGCTCTCTGCAGGGATAGATCGAGAAGTGAGCGAGCGACGGTATGTGTTCGCTCACTTCCCGATCTACTGAGCCGACCTGTGACAGTTTCATTGTCACACGTCGGCTCAGATTATGAGGCTCAAGTGAAAATCACTCGCCTCATAATTCTCCTTTAATGCAACTGAGTCTGACAGCAACACTCATGGAAACAGCCATCGTCACAAGAATAGAAAAGACACACTAAGCATTGATGTCAGAACCCAATATGTCCGCCTACTTTGTTCACTGCTACTAGAGGTACTTCTGGTTTCTCCTCACCTCTGATCATGAAGCTTCCTGTTGTCAGGTATTCTCCAGTTGGCGCTGTTTTGGACACCTAAAAACAGGAAAACATTAATAATACAGATAGTCACGCACCTTGGAGACTTTCAAATTATATTACAGGTGCTCTCCAGTATTAAAGTAGATCTAAAGACAAAATATTGTTTTCAGTTTGGATAAAGTACAACTGAGTTAAAACCCTTGTCAGGTGTTCTTCTTATCCCATTCAAGAGATTTCCCTTAACTTTCTGTCCTGCAGAAACAACAGAAGGTAAGAGGATATCTTTCCCATCTGAAGCTGGCTATACATGGATTCAATTGTGGCTATTTCCTACTAAACTGGCCATACTTTGATCTGTGGGTGGCCATACCAGTACCACCAGGCTTCACAAAAGTTGTCTTTTCAATTGACTTTTGTCAAAGGAACTGAAAAATTGTCAGACAAACAGTGACTGCAGCCAATCAGCAGGTGCGGTTGTCAGAATACAATAGTCAGCAGGTACAGATTGCTCTTCAGTGTGGATGGGGGGAAGTGAGAGACTTATTTTAAAGTGTATGGCCAGATTGTGACCGTTAATATTAGAAAGAAATGTCCCCATTAGAAGATTGCAGTAGTATACGAACAGACCGCACTATCCAGAGAATTCCAATACTGCAGACTTTATTGAAATTCACAGCAAATCCAGTATATCAGTGAATAAAAGTGTATAAAGCAACAAATGCCAGCACTGCACACCCCCAACCAACTACAACCTCTCACATGTTTCACCCGCAGGCTTATTCATAGAGTCTGCAGTATTGGAATTCTCTGGATAGTGCGGTCTGTTCGTATATTGCTGCATTCTAAGGTGGAGACGCACCTATTGGACCAGCACCTGGGGAGTCCTGATGGTGGCTAAGGAATTTCCTTTGGCTCCCCATTAGAAGATTGCCACTCTATTCCTGTTCTTATAACTACAAACTTTTGGATTTTCCTCCAGTTTCAGTTCCAGGGGACTCCAGGACTAATAGGGATGGTTCCCAGTATTGACCTAGACATTAACCTACCAAAGGTATTAAAGACTCACTACTCAATCTAAAACTAAAAAGAAAAAACAAAAATTACCTTTAAACACATTGCAATAGACATGACAAAAGCTCTCTACTGAGTGGAACTGTTCTGGCCTGGTGGAAGGGGACAGAGACATGACTACTTGAGCACTGCCTAACCAGGCTTCACAAAAGTTGACTTTTGTCGAAGGAACCAGAAAACTGCCAGACAACCAATGCCTACTTCTGTATCTCTCTGCAGCCTCAAGTATGCACAAGGAGGAGGTTACACATCAAATAATTACCTGGCGAGAGGCTGCAATCCCAGACTGATAGACTGTGAAAAGCCTGATGAAAATGGCTGTGATGGAAGTTTTCAATTCACAATATTTGTAAAGAAAACAGCCAGGATAGAAATATGGGAACTGCCATTGCAGGGGTCGAGGGTCAGAGGTCACTTGAAGTGTGACAGTTGCTGTCTTGTTAATTGCCTGACTATACCATGTCCTAGCTTTTGAGTGTACAGTGTGTGCGGGCAGGCAGCAAATGTCCCTGATAGTTCAACTAAAGGGACAGGCTCAGACAAGTAAATCTAAATAGAGGGGAAATATACATCTTTCCTATGTAACACACTACAGCTTATTGGAGTGAATATTCAGTCCCCAGCATCATTTCTATTATGACCGGTTCTCTTTAGACTGACTGGGGTTCTGTTTTTTTCTACAGCCAGACCTTTACATTAAAAATCCTCTATAAGGACATTTTGTGCCGAAAGGGTGTTGTCCTTTTAAAGCCAAGAAATTAAAAGAAGGCCGGACATGGCATGTTACCTGATTGTGATGAACCCACCAGGCGCTGGTAATAACTCGGGCGTCCCAAGCAGCACTATAGCAAACTGCCATGGTGCCAGCCTCTGTGAGGGTACGAGGTGGAATCGGATGACCTATAAGAGAAGGATGAAGAAGGAAAGGAAGACTTCACTGTTGTGTTGCCGTCATATATATATTCAATCAATCAGTAGAATGAGGCAATGCACTCAATGCAGTCAGTGATCGTTTTCCTTCACGACTGTCCTTTACACCTCCACTGTATGGAAGAGTAAAGTAATATCCGAAACAGGAACTGTATTTGCCTTGTAGAACAGTTCAGTGCTGAGGAGAGTAAGCGTTGCTCATTGGTGCGCTGTAGTGCTGACATGTACACAGACATTCTCATAGAGATCAGCACTACTCCCGCACATCCTGTTCTACAGATCTACAGCCAGCGCCCATTTTTATTTTGCTAAACTACTCTGACTCTCCCATTGTTCCATCTCTACAACATAGAGGCTAAACATACTGCAGTCCCAAGATAAGAACTGGGAGGACTAACTGCTCTCCTTGAGATAACACAGGGAATGGAGCATCAAAACACTTCCAATGTTATATTTAACAGACCAAAAGAAAGCAAATAAGAGAATTACATTGTTAGGGTTTATGTTCACTTTAAAAGCTTATGCCATATTTTACAGTTAGCTTTATTTGGTCTTTAATTAATAAACTGGAATAAATTATGATTTTTTAAATTCTGCCTGAAGTTTAATCAGTCCCTCCAGTGAAGAGATAACTTTCCTTGTCATTACCTGTAGGGTTCTTAATGACACAGCTGGTCGCTCCGTGCAGGTCTGCGTGAACATAGAGGTCTCCTGTACATACAGAAGAAAACAGAGTCATGTACAATATAATGTCATGCGGTATTGTGTGCTTTCAATGTATACGGCAATCCCTGTGGTCTTTATTATCATTACATGCATTGGGGCTATGCGGTGCTATTTATTCTGAATGGCATCCCAACGCAACAGACATGCACAGTTGGCAACAATTTAGGGATGACCTAATGAGGCACAGATCTGTGGTATGGCTATGTGACCTTTAGCATGGCACAGGTCACATGGTCTCTACTGGGAAGTGCCACCAGCGGTTCTCTTGTGTCTTGCAAACTGCCCCTGTATGTAATGAGATGAAGTGGATTACTGAGGTCTGCGCAAGTCTTCCTGTTTAAGGTTTCTCCTCACTGGACCAGTTTTTTCCAAGAAGAAATAACACCAGCCCACAGTGACATAAGCACGTGATGGCAGCATGTCTGTGAAGGTTCTTATTTATCCAGGTCATGATATAGATAGTAGTTACATTCAATTGGACTTCTTCTGTAATGTTGAAGGTGTTTAACTGCTCCTACAAACAGCTTCTTCAGTTCTGATGAGTGTCAGGAAGGTGGGGGACTATGAGAACATGGATGTTCCTAACACTTATCAGTAAAGATGTGTGGGGTAGCTTGGTGTGAAGCCAGCTCGCCTAAGCAAAACCGTCACTGAAACCCCCCCCCCTCCCCCCTCCTGTCCCAACAATCATTTGTGGCAGGAGCAATACCCTCACCTTTGTGACGTGCAGCTGCGGGACGGGGAATGTCCTGCCACAACTGGATTGGGAGAAGGGTGAGTCAGTGAAACTTTTGCGCAGCCTTGGTGCACACTCAGGCGAACTGGGTTTGCACCAAGCCCCTGCATATCATTACCCATCAGAACTGAAGAAGCTGTTTGCATGAGCAATGAACTGACTTCAACATTACAGAAGTCCTGCTGAATGTGACTTATTACTATTTAGCACAGACTCTGGAAATAGGTGTAAAGGAAGACATTTACTACCTAAGGTTATAAAATAGATGGGTATTACTAGGTGTATAATGCGAACAAGGCTAGAGGAAGAAAACCTCTTCAAGAATGGAGGAACTGAAACCAAAAACAGATGAAGCCAAACCAAAATCTAGACCTGAGATTTATAGCTCATATCAATGTTTATCTCATTCATCTCCTACTAGTCACTAGCAGGAGAGATTCAACACAGGTCCCTTACCTGGCCGCAAATACCTCTTGACAATCATCTCATTCTGTTGCTGATCTCGCCCAGCTATTACAAGGTAGTTCTCAGAGCTTATAAACCATAAAAACTTCTCAAACCTAAAAGAAAAAAAACAACATCATTCTGCATACAATATGGAAATCTATTTACTTATTAAAACAGCAGCCTTGAGGTAGGTGGTACAGAACAACCCGTGTCAGTCTTTAGAGCTCTGGTGCCCAACCTGCAGCCCTTCATCAATTATTTTTCAGCCCTCAGAGCCCCTGCAGACAGTATCTGTATTTTTCTTACTGAGGTGCTTACTACATTAAAAAGGAGAACTATGAGGTGAGTGCTTTCCACTCACCTCATAGTTCTAGCCGACCTGTGACAATGAGACTGTCACAGGTCGGCTCAGTAGATCAGGAGGTGAGCGAACACATACAGGTGTTCGCTCACTTCTCGATCCTGTCACGGCTCTCTGCCGTGACACGGGAGGGGATGGATTCCCCCCTCCCCGCTCCGATCCTCCAGCGCTGACTGGCGGAACGGACAGCTGGCTCTGCCTCTAGATAGGCAGAATCAGCTGTCACTCACGCAGCTGGGCGGATCTCGACATCGATGTCGGGATCCGCTCCGGCTGCGGCGTCTCAGTATACCGCGAGCTGTAGCTCGCGGTATACTGAGCTTAGGGTGACGGGAGGACGCTAGTTTGGGACGATCATGGTGTGGAGCTAGAGTTCCATAGTTACTTATTCTAGTCACAGGCCAAGGTGGCTGTGGAAGTTTGTGTATAGAAGCTGCCAGCCGAGTGCCCACACACCATACATTATGCCCATACTATTACCTGGCAATTGGAAAGTGTATAGGGATCCGGCACCATCCATCTTCTCCCTTAAACTTCTCCTCTGACAGGAAGAGAATAGCTACTCAAAAACTTAATAGTCCCTGACTGCTAAGCTTGCACTATAACAAATCAAAAGTGAGAATCGGATTGAAACTAATGACCCTTTGTGCCAGATATTGAGAAATATTTTAAGCATGGCTTATGGGCTAACCCAGGGGTGGGCAACTCCGGCCCTCCAGCTGTTGTGGAACAAGCCCCATGAGGCATTGCAAGATTGACAGTCAGAGGCATGTTGGAATTTGTAGTTAAAGCACACCTGGAGGGCAGGAGTTGCCCATCCTTGGGCTAATCGCTTGGTCTTTTAAAAAGTGTAGCAGCAACATATAAGGTATGATCTCACCAGTACACCTTCCTGGCTTTCTGAATTGTGGTGACGGTCTGCACCTCCTTCAGTGTCTGTTTGGTTTTCTTCTCTGCAGACTTGAATGCCTGTAGTAGAAATACAATATTAAAAGAGACCCTGTCGCCAAACCAATAATTTCAACAAAAACCTTCCCTAAGATTACATTGCATTTTTAACATATTTGATGCATGTTATTTACCTGTAAAAGCCTCCCTTAGACAGACATCCAAACATCTTAAGACTGCTGCCATCTTGGATGCGATGCCAGCAGCTGCAGAAGACTCATAGCTGTCACTCAAGTGACACTCTATGATATTCCCCTTTGCTTCTCCCCATAAAAGGTTATGTAGGGAGGTGAGAAGAGGGACAGAGGAGCTGGGCCACCCCATAGAGCAATTTTACACTCCCAGAAGAGAGGAGGGCTAAGATGTGCAAGGAGGGAGGGGGAATGTGCTAGGGCATTGACTCTTCCTGAAGTAGTAACATTTTCTAGCAAGTTCAAAGGCACATTGCAAGTGATTAAAAAAATAATTGATGGAAAGGAAACTCTGTAGGTAAGCTTTTTTACCTGCAATTTTTAAGTCAGTGACTGGGCCACTTTCAATGTATTTCCATGTGTAGGGGAAAAAAATGAAGCATCTCCCAGGATTGGAGGTAAGCTCTGGCCAGAAATATGAAAAGCTGCTGTGGACTGCATGAATTAGCATTCTCACATTCAGTGACATTGAAAGTATGAACAGCATATGCAAAATTATACAGACCAAAACAGCCCATGGGTCCTCAAATGGAAGTAAAAAAAGAAGAAATGACTGTTTGATCTGTACTTCATGGTGATCCTTAATCACTTTTACATAGGATAAAAGACAGGTCAGTGCTGCAATCACGATAATGCATAAGGTGGGAGCAGCAACTGCAGTAGACAACAGCATTGTGGAACGGTTTGAGTTCAGTTACTTAGACATCCTCATCCTTCTAACAGTGCAAAAAAAAGTCCATTATAAAAAATACAACCTTGACAGCGGACATTATGCAGCTGCTCATTCGCCCAGGATCACTTGGTAATCCCCCAGCGCTGTGTGGGTGTAAAGAGACTGCTATGTTGGTGGAGGTGCAAGATGTCACCATCAATGTAATCCAGAATTGGGCAAGATAGTCCTCTAATGGGGTCAAAGTCCTGAAGCTAGAAAAACAGAGGGTGCCTAGGCATTGTCACTGGGCAGCACAGCCTGTGATGACACTGCTGCTGTTCTTTGTTAGTGGCAAAGCAGAGGGAGGTGGTAGAGGCACAACGACAGAACTGGTGTCTATCATATAGACAGCTCCGACGCTGCACAGAGCCAGAAGTATGGTTTCCTGTACTTTACAAGCACAGACTCAGAAGATCAGAAACATCATGGATATGCCTGAACGGTTGACCCTCATAGATACCTTTTCTGCAGCTTCCACCGTCTTCTGCGTTTTCTTTGCAGCGTTCCTCTTGTGATCGTAGTACCTGAGAATGCAGACAAGATGCCATAATGATTACAAGGCTCCTCTGACAGATGGGTCCAGGAGCTCCCCGAGAGTTTAAGGTGTATCTGAACACAAAAATGTGATATATAACAACTTACCATGGCTTAGATGTGGTGGCTGCATTAGTGTGCTTTTATCAGGCGTTTTGTCAGCCTGTGGGTCACAACAGGCTGACAACACACACTCCCCCATACTTTAACTACGGAGGAGCAACATTGTCACCCTAGGTCAGGAAGTATATTAGGATCACAGAACACCCCCATCTCATCATCCCATTATTTTGGATTTCAGTAAATACATAGGAAGTAAAAGGACACTGCATTTCTCTCAAGATCGAAAGGTATTTTCATGTAACTGAAACTTCAAGCTTTATAGTTTGCCTACCTATTTAAAGCTGAACTACAAGCTCTCCTGCAAAAGTGCCAGGAGTGCTAGGACATGCTATAACTCTTGCAGAATGCAGGAAGACCATGTGACTCACTTTTTGGAATTGGCGTATGCTGACAAGCTGAGGTCCACATCCACCAGAACTGGTTTGTTTTTCGGAGTCTTCTTTGGCTGTTGTTTATTTTTACCCTTTTTCTTCTTTCCTTTTGGCTCCTCTGGCTTCTCCTCTTCTTCATCTTCATCCTCCTCTTCAGAAAGTATGTACGGGTTCCTGGAAGAAGAGAACACTCAAATGGGTCTGGTAAAGTCTTGCTCTGTGTCCTTCTGATTCCAGTCTTCCTGTAGCTCCCTCTGCCTGGCTATCTGAGATTCCATGCAGAATGCTATCTGAGTGTGCAGACACTTCGGCCAGGCAGGGAGGTCTGCAGGGGGACTGGGGGAGAAGAATGCAGTAAAAGAGTTCAGTAGAATGTGTTGATAGAGGACATTTTATCCATCCATCCCAGGACTGTAAAGCCGCCTTAAAAAAAAAAACAAACCATGTGGTCATGTGCCTTCAGTTTCCTATCAGCAAGCTAGGGATGGATTGGTTACCAAACGGTACTGCTTAAAAACTTTAGTGGAGAAAATTTAAGTCAATGAACTGGCTATGCTGTATGGTACACATGTGAATAACAAAACCATCCATGTCTGTTACAGAGTGCCAATTACTGCCTGCATTAGGTCCAGCTCTGGTGCCTATTGTACTGCAAAGTGATATTTAAACACCCTGCACAACTGCTATAACAGGAATGTGGAGATAAAACTAAGAAAATGGAGGTAGTTACTATAACTTTAATTGAGCTGTAAAGACACACATGGCCAGGATGTAGATCTGCTGCTTTCTTAGGGCCCATGTCGATGGGCTTTTTTCACTTGAAATGGGTTTTGCATTCCCATACAAGTCTACGTACCTGAAGCAGGTCAGAAGGATGTCATCTGCAAGTCAAATGCACTTGACAATAAAGTCTGAATGATTTCAGAAGCATCTCAAACTGATGCAATCGACACAAGCCTAAAAGTGTCTCAAGTGTCCCATATTGGGATACAGATGTTATGTGTACAGCTGACACTTACTTAAGCAGCATGGTAATGTGATTAGTCTGCAGCTTCAGCTCTTTGATGCAACAAGCAACAGGGTCCCCCTGCAACTGCGCCTCCTTCACAATCTGCCCAATCTCCGTCCAGTCTATCTGATTGGCCAGGGCACTGCGTACGACCTGCAATGCTCGGTCAACAATGTCCAGATTCATTTCAATCAGCTCTCCTTTGTCTCTGTCAATTTCCTATGGAGAAGAGATTTTCCCAGCTTGATAAAGTTCAATACATTTCATTATACTCCATGGAGGCACTTATTTATAAAGTTTACTTTACTTTTTTTATAAGGTTTAACAAAAAAATACAAAATAAACCAGTCGTGAACAGACAAAGCTTTCATCAGTTTCAGTGACAGGCAAGACATTCGCTAGTGCACGTATCTCTGAGATAGGTAAACCCTCGACTAACGCAATTATTGTTCCTTATTCAGATTTCTCCCTGGGACGACCATGAAAATGATTGCCAACAAACAGAACATGCTTGGATGGAATCCAAATGTGTTCTTCCACTTGCCACAATAGCTAGGATTTCCTTCTAATGGGTCCTAGCACTGTTAACTACTGGGGTCCCTCTCAGTGCTCTCCACCATGGTTCTTATTAGACTGCCGTCCCCACAACCCCTCTTATGTCGTTGTACTATAGGGCCAAAAGTCTGTTGATATCTGACCATCACACCTTCTTTATGGCCAACAATATGTGGACCCTTCCAAATGATTGAGTTCAACTGTTTCCAGCAAAGGTTACTGTTAATGCTACAGCCGGTTTGGACGATTGTGAGCTACCAGCCTTATGGCAACAGTTTGAGGAAGGTCCTTTTCTGTTCTAGCATGACTGAGCTTCTGTACAGAAAGTCAGCTCCATAAATGCATGGCTTGTTTTCGATTTTGTGTGGAGGAACTCGAGTGGCTTCAACGCTACTGAATGCCTTTGAGATTAATTGTAATGCTGTCTGTGAGTCAGGTCTTCTCATCCTACATCAGAACCTGACCTCACAAATGCTCTTTTGATTGAACATGAATTCCCGGTGACCCAAAATCTTGTAGAAAGCCTTTTCAGAACACTGGAGGCTGTTAAAGCTGCAAAGGGGAGGCCAACTCCATAATAATGCCCATGGTTTTGGAATGGGTCATATAGGTGTGATGGTCAGGTGTCAACAAACTTTTGGCCATATAGTGTAGCTCTCCCGCCCACTGCCTCTCTCTACCATCATGGAACAGCTCAGCAGTGATTGTGTACAGGTACGTAGAGGTGCAACCAACTCTATTGTTTTCAGTTATGGAAATTTCCCATCATGTTTTTATTTATGTGACCCCACTGTGGAAATCTTCCCCTATTTCCTGTCTCTGTGATACCCATACAAGAAGGGAAGCAGCTGTCTCCAGGATAGGAAGGCCAGAAAGCAAAAAAACAAATAAAAACATAGCCAGAGTTTCAAATTCTTCCCCACTCATGCTAAAAATGTGTGCATCCCTGTTGGAGCAATTTCCCATCACCTCCTGTCCTGACAGGGAGTCAAGGGAAATCTCTCTCTCAGCAATACACAAAATGCAATAGGGAAATTTACTGGGGTGACTACAGATCAGCTTTAAGGCTGCGGTGCTGCAAATCAAAAGCAGGCCAGCAATGTTGACATTCCCTGACTGAATTATTGATTTTGCCTCTACATGTGGAACCAGAATGCATTAATCTTAAATGATGTACAAGAGCGCCATTTAGTAAGTACACGTACCTGAGTATTCTGCAGTGTCTCCAGGCGCTGCACGTGGTCTTTACGGACATTTTCCAACTTTTTAAGAGCTTGTTTTTCCTGTAAGCATATATTTTTGAGCATTAAAGCTGAACTCCAGGCAGATAGAAATACACACAATAAAGGAGCTTTTTATTTACCGATATATCATTAAATGTATTTTTATAAATGCAAGTACCGGTTTTTGACCTGGTAACAGCCTCTTTGATTACCTGTATAGCAGAGCTTCAACTGGTAGAGGGAGAAGCAGCACAAGCAGCCAGTCAGTTCATGTGCCGACACACATGCATGCATGTGTGTCAGGAAGCATGCAGATAGGAGAAGAAAGCAGAATGACAGAGATGAGCTCTTTCCTGTGCTGCTTCTCCTTCACTGTCCAGTCACAGGCTGGGAATGGGACAAGACCTGTAAACATTACTAAACTGCAATAGAGAAAAACATTTGTATACAAGTAATAGAGATACTGACCATATGAAGAGCTTTGATATCAATCTTCTGACCTTCCAGCTTGGAGTAAAATTCATCAACAGCCTTTAAGGGAGAAAGAGAAGGCAGATTAATTGTATTTCTTCGATCAAAGGCAGTCCACTTAAAGCTCACCTCTATATAGTTAAAACTATGTGGTTAGGCCCTTTTTCTTCTGACATACCTTATCAAAGGAATCAAACTCCACCTGGGGACTGTTTATATGCTGAGCAAAAAGGAATGGATGGAATTCTTCATATCTAGAGAACACAGCAATCCAGGCTGAATAAAACTATCAGGATAATAAATAACAATTCAATTATTTAATGTTGATAAAAAAGGGGCTCGTCTTACGTTAGAATGTCTTCAGATGGCTTCTCTGGCTCCAGGCTCGGCTTCTTCTCCCTCTTCTGGATTATGTAGCCCTGTTGGAGATAGAGACATTAAAGCTGAACTCTGGCCTTCCCTTCAGTCTTGCACAGTTGTACCGGCTCCTCTCCTGGACTGAAATTGCTTACTCTGATTTTACTGCACACTGTGAACTAATGTGGGCATTACCAAGGGAATTCTGATGTTTGCAGGAAGCTATGTACATGCCTCTCTCACCAGCCATGATCTGTCTGCATTGTATACAGAAGCACAGAGACTCAGTGATGACATCACTGGGTCTAAAATAAGCTATGTAATAAATTCAGACAGGCTTTAACTAGAAATGTCAATAGCATGTTGTTGTTTTTTTTTTTTTTTTTGGGGGGGGGGGGGGTGAGGGGTCACACC